CTCATGTTGGAAGGGGACTGTCCCATCTGGTGTCAACAGGAACACACTACTGACCAGAGCTGAACCACCTTTGTAACTACAAAACTCCATTCCTCTTTACAGCTGATCCATTTCACGTCTTTGTCTTGCATTGTCCTCCACTATTTCAGGAGAGCAAGCATCATGACCCATACCAAGTTATCCTTTTTTAAACTCCACGCTGATAATTTTTTGCCTAGTCATTCTCATGTGAGGCCCTTTGCACACCCAGTTTTCCCTGGCTATGATCTCAAGTACTCCTATATTCCTCTCAGTTTTACTCTAATATCAGCTCTGACACTCTGTTCATTTTTGATACTCTCATATTCATATACTCGTATACTTTAATATTCATTATTGTCCCACTCTGTTTATTTGTTGGACTATTTTACCAACAGATTAAATAGGTGAATGGAGTCACTTTAAAACCAGCCACTAGGTCCATTGCAAGTAAAGGGATGGGTGTCTGATTTTTCAAGAATAGGTCATTATCAGATCATGCAGTGATGCAAACCATGTCTTAAGGCTCCCTAACACTGTCTTGAACTGATGTAACAGGGCACTGGTAAAAGGTTTGCATATATATTGTGTGATTAGAGAGGAGTGATATCTGGGCAGTGACTGATGTATATTTCCTGTCTAACATTGTGCTCAAAACAGCCTCAGAAAAAGATCAGAAAGGTTTCTCAGGGCTTTATTTTAATATGGTCTTGAATGTCCTCAGGAATGGAAGCCATTTAACCTCTCTGCAGAAATTTTCCGTGATGATGGAAAGAATTTCGTTGTACTTTGTCAGAATATTGTGTTTTTCAGTTTATGCCTGTTACCTCTCATCTTTCTACTGTGCACAACTGCAAAGAACATAAGTCTGTCTTCCCAGAAAAGTCTTTGAAGACATTGGAAGACTGCCTCTAGATTCCCCATGGCCTTTCTTCTTGAGGTTAATAAAATGAAGTTTACTCAGCCTTTCTTCATAGAGCAGTTGCCCCAGTTGTATAAATATATAAGTGGCCATCTGCTGAACTTGCTTCAGTTTTTCAATAGCTCTGAGGGATCCAAAACTGGATATAGTAATATCAATGCACTCCTAAAACCTTTGCATCTCTGCTAGATAACTGTAGGGGCATGGGCCTTCTTTCATTCAATCCTACAAATGCAATTTAATAAGAAATATTTTCGGATTACTAAATTTATCAGTAGCCAATATCAAAGCCAGTGGATCTCTTCTGCCCTCTTCTAGAGTTCTTTCCATCTGACCTCCCCAAGCAATTGCCTTCTAGTATTGCTGTGCTCTCTCCTTCATTGTAGGACAGCAGCCAGAAACAGTCTGGTGACTTGGAGAGGATATTCTGATCAAATCCCATCCAATAATGTTTCTTTAACTTTCCATTACTCTGTTGCTCATGAGATTTGAGCATGAGAATGTGTCTGTATAAACTACATATGTATGTATTTATAAGAATTGGTCAATTTTTCCTGGACTAGCAACAGCTCCCGACATATACCACCCTTTATTGTTGTTATCTATTTTTATATATTGATCTTCTCTTTGTAAATCAAACAGTTTCGTTAATCTAGTACCTGTACTATTTCTCTTCCTACACTTGCAGTCAGAGCAAATACATCTCAGACGTGTCTTGTTTCAGAACTGATCAGTCACACAGTTGCCATAATTTAAAATGGAAACACGAATTTTTCCTAAGCAATTGCAGGAAAGGAATTTTCCCCAGAGCTCTTATCACTGTCTCAGTCAAAAGGAGAATGATGTTTTGCTCTTCTAAGTGTCTTCCTAAGTCCTAGCTCAGATCCAAAGCATGACTAGGTACAAATAGTCAAAACATGTAACTGTGTGCCCTAAAAATGGCACTGCAGATACATGTATGTCTATTGATATTTCTGTCTATTTTTCTTGATCCTTCTCCTTACTCTATTTTGTTTGCTCTCAGAAGCTTTCCTTTCTTTGCTTATTGCTGAAGTGGGCTTTTCATTATGCCTCTTCTTCTCTCTTGCTTTCTTTAGTTCTGTCCTCTTCTACTCATGATCCCAAGACTCTTCTCTGCTGTTTATGATATGCTAGTCCTCTATCAGAAAATGGTTCTCTAGCCTCTCTGAGGAACTTTTCCTCAGAGCATTCAGATAAATGCAGACAACACAGCAGGGAGTATTCTAGGGAGGAGCTAAGGAAAATTGGGTCAGTGTCTCTGAGATGAGCTGTGCCCAACTAAACTGTTGTGGCATTCTGGCACTGGGCCAAGATGCAAAAATGACTGAGATATGCTGGGAGAAAAAGCACCTGCGCATGCCAGAGTCAGCCTTCTGCTATCATAGCCTTGATTAATGGGAAATGGCAGCTTACTGCATCCCTTGAGGTGCTAGCTCTGCTAGCTTCTGTCCTTGCGTTAGATTTCCTCAATTGATGAGGCCTAACTGTGTTTTATTGGTAAGTACTGGTCCTGGGGGATGATCCAGTGACAAGGCCTGTAGCTTAATTTCTATTGATTTTTTTTTTTTTTTGTGAGGTTATTCTATAGGCAAATGGTGGAAGTGTTCAGGAGAAGCTGTTCTTGTTCAGGCTTTTTCCAGTATGGTCCTAAGATGGTGATTTTCACTAAGGCAATACGTGTTAGTCCTAGTGATGGTGGGCTCCTTTCAGCTTGGATATTCGTTATTGACTGTTTCCAGTAAACACAGTAGACATCTGCAGAGACTGTAAGATCACAGAAAGTGAACATAATGCCATGATCTGCATTAAGAAGGGAATGTAAGGCACACAAAAACTGATAGTGTAAAGAAGGGAATCCTGCAGAAATGAGAGCTAGACACTATGGAAAGATGGTCCTAGGCTCACTACAACTGCTGGACTAAAAGGAGGTAGCTTTAGCATATTTAGGTTGCCAGGGAAGTTTTTCTCTTTCCTTCTGAGTTAATCTTTGATACCTTATTTATAGAGTGACTGGACTGAGGCAATGTTAGGAAGAGCCTCATGTCATGGGAGCGATTATTGGTGCCCTCTGTGAGTAGTAAGCTATCATATTTTAGGCAAATTTTGGAAAGGGATAAAGATGCTCACGAATGTGTTCAGCTGTCTGACTGAATACAGAAGCTGAATTCACATGGAAGTAGAGGGTGTGTGACAGCTGTGGTCCTTGACCATGCAGGATAGTCTTCAGCTACATGAAGGTCAATTAGTCTCTACTATAGTCAGTCCACATATATTGGACAAAATGCAAATGAAAAATGCAGTTAACTAGAATTTTAGGTCATAGTCTGTTTTCTATTTTTTTTTCCCCAAAAATTTTCATTAGGAAGGTGAAGGAGATGTGTATCTTATTTAATCTCTACAAATCAGCTTAGCTTCTAATATGCTATGTGATTTCAGTTTGCTGGTTATTTTTTTCCTTGACATAGGAAGTAGAAATAACAAGGGGTGACAGAAATAAGAATTTGGAAGTGTGATCCTTGCTCCGTATCTGCCATTTCTTCTGGAAATACAAGCATCTAATTACTATCATTCACCATTATTGAAGTCCCTATTACAGTCTGACTCTTCCAGGACTTACCACTCTAGCACAACACATGTGGAGGTTATGCTGTAGCCAGAAGACTGCCAACAGAGAATGTGATACTAAAGACCTAAAGCTCATAGGACTTCATGGATATTATTGACTGCTGTGTCTGGAATATGGCTGTATACAGGCCCGAAAGTATACATCAGAAATCCCCAATGTATTTAGAAAACTCAAAGCAATAGGAATTGAATGCATATGAAAAGGAGGATCAGTAAGTGAGATACTCTTATTTTTCTGAAGTTACTTGTTAAGAAAAATGCATAAATGGTCACTTAGAACCTAAGTGACTTAGAAATAATTTCTAAAGTTTGTTATTGTTCCTTTGTTATTGTTATTGGAGGTGGAAGCCCGCTTTCCTTTAGCGTAGTAAGTAATTACCAGGTGAGTTAATTCTTCAGTGTCTGGTGTGGTGTTCCATTTCAGAACACTCATTAGATGTCCTGACTTCATATTAACAGTTGCATACAGTGTTCTTCTCTTACACAGTTCTCTTTGATATATAACATTTTTGCTATTCTCAGTCTTTTGGATTCTTCTGCTTATGGTAATCACTTGGAGAGTTTTTCTCTTGAATGTAGAAAGCAGCATTCCCATCGGTCTTCTGAAATCAAAAACACATTTGGGGTCTATATGAAAGCTTCTCATTCCCTAGAAATGTTCTTTATTGCGAAACTAAATAAACGAATGTCAGTCCATGAATGAACTTTCACCACAGCTAATTAGCTGGTAACATCTAAAAATTCTGTGTCTATTTATATAGAAAAGCAGCTTTAAAAGCATGCATAAAACCTGCATTAAAATTATAAAAGCTGTGTCCTAATATTTCGGCAAAGATCCAAGTACTTTCTGCTAGGTAATTCAGTACAGCATCTTTGCTGACCCTAGAATGTGTTATACTCCCATATTCATAGTAATTTATTATATTTTTCATTTTCTTTCTTGTGCGAAGGATTTTCATCCTTGTTTCAGCTTTTTCCATAGGCGTGTTCCTGTAAATTTTCAGATTGAACTTGACCAACTTAAGAGGCTTCTAGCCATGCCTGGGAAGTTTCCGGAACTACAGAAAAACAGTTAGGATTGCCTTTATGAGTTCTGGCTTCAATCTGATGCAAAATCAGCCATGGTAGCTTATATTACTTTATGCAATAAAACTGTCTAAAACAGCTTTTAAAAAAAGCAATTTTTTCTGCTATGCCAGCTGAGAGAAAGTAGATGTGCAAAATTGCACCTTAAACAATGCTCAAGTTCAGAGCTGATATTTTCTGTACTGCCATAAAATAATAACCTGCCGTAGCTAGTAACAAGTTTTCCCAACACCAGCAGCACGAGTTAAATATAAGTAAGGTTGCATTGTTTCTGGTATCTGAATTAATGAGTTTCCTATTCTTTTCTGTGTTATTTTCCTCTCCTTAGCCTGTCCCATTGGTTCCTTTAAAGCATCTGTGGGAGATGACCCTTGCCTTCTCTGCCCTGCCCACAGCCACGCTCCACTGCCAGGTTCCATTGAATGTGTATGTCAAAATCACTACTACCGATCTGCTTCTGACAATTCTGATGCTCCATGCACTGGTAAGTATTTGAAAGGAGTATTTGAAAGTAGGAAGAAGGGCAGTTAATGAGAGACGACTTGTCTGAATGATTCATGGAAGTTCCAACTCATCTCTTCTCATAATCAACAGTCCAAAATGACCCTGGGCTTCCTTCTCTTGATGACTGTAGATAAGAAGGTAGAAGTGTTCCTACATGCTATTTACAAAGTTGGTACACCAGAGGAACTGTGTGTTTAGAATATTGGGATGCTGCAATATCAGATACTTAGAATGAAGATATGCCAGATTTTAAATGACTCATGCAACGTTAAATAATAATAATAATCCCAGATCACATCCTTATTTATGAGTTAAAAGATATAGATTTGAAAGCTGGACTATTCATTGGATTAAAAATAAGTCAGATGGTCATAGCCAGAGAGTTGTTATCCAGGTGGAGGCTGGTGATGAGTGGTGTCTCCCAGGGGTCTGTCATGGGATTGGTACTCTTTAACATCTTTATCAGTGACATAGATGATGGAATTGAGTGCACCCTTAGCAAGTTTGCAGGTGACACTAAGCTAACTGTAGTTGACACCACAGAAGGAAGGCATGTTATCCAAAGCAATCTGGACAGGCTTGAAAAGTAGATCCATGAGAACCTAATGAAGTTCAGTAACTCCTTACGCTTGAGTTCAGGGCAATCCCAGATATGTTTACAGACTGGGAGAACTCCTTGAGAGCAGCCCCACAGACAAAGACTTGGTGGTTCTGGTGGACAAAAAGCTGGACATGAGCAAGCACTGTGCACTTGCAGCCCAGAAGACCAACAGTATTCTGGGCTGCATCAGAAGAGGTGTGGCCAACAGAGAGAGATTGTACCCCTCCACTCTGCCCTTGTAAGGCCCCTCTGGAGTACTGCATCCAGGTCTGGGGCTCTCAGCATAAGAAGGATCTTGAACCATTGAAAAGGGTCCGTAAAAGGTCCATGAGGATGATCAGAGGGCTGGAGAGCCTCTGATATGAAAAAAGGTAAGGGAGTTGGACTTGTTTAGTTTGGAGAAGAGAAGGCTCCAGGGAGACCTCATTGCAGCCTTCCAGTACCTGAAGAGAGCTTATGAGCAAGCAGGGAAGCGATTTTGTATATGGTCTATATACAGACACAGGGGAATGGCTTTAAACTAAAAAAGAGGAAATTTATGTTAGATGTTAGGAAAAAAGTTCTTTACTCAGAGATGATGAACCACTGGGACAGGTTGCCCAGAAAAGTTGTGGATGTTTTTATCTCTGGAGGCATTCAAGGCCAGACTGGATGGGGCCCTGGGCAGACCGATCTAGCATCTGGCAACCTTCCCCATGGCAGGGGGGTTGGAGCTTGATGATTGCTAAGCTTCACCCTAAGACATTATTTAATTCGATAATTATGAACGTTAATAGATCAAGAAAGTAATTAACCCCAGGAAAGGAATTTGAGTTGGTGATGAGCTCTCAACAGTCTAGTTTAAATAACACGTCAAGAATCCCTCATGAATTTTATGGCAGTGATGGAAGTAATTCATGTCCCAAAGCAACTTACAATTTCTCTATGGCTATGAAGTTAAACACTCAGATATTAGGAAATGTGTTTTGTTTTGTTTTTTTCTTCTGTATTCTCTTGCTATATATACTGCCCGGACTCTATCTGCAACAACATCAAGCAATTTCTACTTCACAGGGATTTATTTCTTGAGCAATTGTCTATCCTTTTGCACTGGCTGCAATAATAATCCTCAGGGAAAGCTAGTATGTGATTATACTATTAAATACTATATCACAATACAAGTACAATACAAATACATTACAGATACAAAGTGGCAAAGTTAACAAAATCAAATTTAGTTCTTATATTTCTTGACATTCTAATCCTTCATCTTACCTCCAATATATTTTAACCAGTCTTCTGCATGCAATTTTTGGCATTTTTATTTTGTTCATAACTCTGGAATCCCCTAGGTACATGTATCTATCTACAGGATATGTTCAAATGCTCCAGCACTGAATGAGACTGTAGATTGAGAGATTCCCCACAAAAACCTCATCCAGCTGTTATAATAAATAATACAATCCTTTACATTAATCAATGCAAATGTACAAAAGACTATCAGCAAGTATCTATGAAACCTATAGGTAGATAATAGAAGAATAGTGAGAATGAGAATTCTTGGTTCTTGTTCAAGCCTTATGGAAGGATGTGTTCTGTAATTCTTTTTTCCCTTACTCCTCCCTGTTATTGAGCTCAGCCACTCTGTCCCTGCCTTTTCTGTCTCCATGTCCAGATTTAGAAGTGCGACTCTGCTTCTTATATTTACTTTTCTTACAGCTTTGTCTAGCCTTCAGTGTCTTGTCCCATTCGTGTCCCCAAGCTGTCTTCTCATCCTCTGCATTTTATACCTTCAGTTTACTGCCTCTGATAGGGCAAGTGGTGTGCTGTACTTTAACCCAGCAGGTGGCTGAGTACTACACAGTCATTCACTCACTCCCCTTACTTCCCAGTGGGATAGAAAAGAGAATTAAGAAAAGCAAAGTAGAACTTGTGGGTTGAGATAAAACTATTTTCTAAGACAGAGAAAAGGAAAAGAAAAATAATTATGACATATATAAAAAAATATATATAAAAATATATAATATGTCTGTATGTATGTAAGGTGTAATGCACGAGCAATTGCTCAGCATCCCACATCCAGTGCCCAGCTAGCCCCAAACAGGGGAAGAAAGCTAGATGAACTCCCACCCTCTTCAAAACTCATTCAGCTTGATGTCAAATGGTATAGAATATACCTCTGGGCAATTTAAGTCAGCAGTCTTAATTCTGTTCCCTCCCAGTTCATTGGGCCCTTCACTGAGAATGGCCCTGGCTCTGTACAATGGTTTTTAGCACGCAGCTATAAACTTCAGCATGTTAATCTAAATTGTTTTTCTCCTAGAAACAAAACATAGCATACCAGACACTGAAGAAAACAGTTTCATCCCAGATGAAACTAAGATAATATCGACCCTTTATCCCATAGCATTTACATCATGCTCAAGTGTCACAGCTTCTACACATCCTAACAAATCCTATAGTCTATGGGCCTTTAATGTAGATTGTCTATGGTATTCATTTTAGTTCATAACTTTGGGCTTCATCTGTTGTAACAGTCCTCCAGTGCAGGAAGAATGATTCACAGTGTTGGATTCCTGCATCCAGAAACTAATTCTGGTTCCACTGAAGTTTTTTTGTTTTTTAACCTGGGAAATTCTTATTGTACTGCTGTTAACAATTCTTACAATAACTGTAATAAAATGGCATGCAGCATTATGTAGTAATTTAACGTCATACAATTTAAATTATTGGCTGTTCTCACCCAGCATCAAATCACCTTAAGGTATATAATGGACATCCCCATCCTTCCACATTACCCACAATGTGCACCCAGGTCCTTGAACAAAAGCAGTCCCATGAATAGGCTTGCCTTTGCCCAAGGCAAGAATAACCCAGGCTGTCTTGCCCCACATGGAAGATGTGTAAATATGTGCACCACTGGCATTTTATCCCCTTCTGCAGTATGTAGGATATTTGATTGGGCAGAACTAGCTCAATTGGCAGATCTCTGAATGTTGATTAACCAGGTGTGTCCCAGTGTTTGTATGTCCCAGTGTTGTCAATGTATTGCAGGTGTTCAGGAGCTGTCTTAATTCTGTTCCCTCCCAGCTCCTTTGGCCCTTTGCTGTGAATGGTCTTGGCTTAGTACAACATTGCTTAGTAGGCAACTATAAACACTGGTATATTTTCAACATTTTTTTTTCTCCTAGAACCAAAGCATGGCATCATACCGGGCATTGAAAAAAAAACAGTTCTGTCCCAGATGAAACTAAGACATGGTGGAGGCACAGAGTGGGCTGTTTTTAATGCTGTCAGAATGCCATTTGAGAATCCTCCCGTAGCAGGAATAATTGTAGGGCAAGTGCTGTTCAGCTGTTGCAATATATGGAGAAGGCAAACTAAAATCTGAGAGAATTCAGAGGTGTTAGGTGCCAAAGGAGAGATCTAGAGGCCTCAGTGGAGACAAGTCTTCACTAAGCTTGTATAGAATTTAGTATTTCAAAGGTTTGAGACTTTTCTAAACACTGGATGTTCTTTTGGGGAAAAATATAAGTCATGCCCTTGATACAAAGACCTTTTTAGTCAATTTTGTATCCCTAAAATATGATTGTGTAGCTATTCCCTTTGTATATAAATGTATGTCTGATACAGAAAAGAGCACATTTTTTTAATCTTATCCAGAGAAACATCTAGAAAAGAGTAAGAATGAGAAGAAAAAGCATCTTAATTTTTAATCTTCCATTTTTTTCCCTACTTCACTGTCTTATTCGCTCCTCTACCTCTTTTCCATTCTTTTGTAAGATTTTTGTCTTTCATACTGTCTTCTAGGCATCCCTTCTGCTCCCCGTGACCTCAGCTACGAAATTGTTGGATCCAGCGTGCTCCTGACCTGGCGCCTCCCCAAGGACTTGGGTGGCCGCAAGGATGTTTTCTTCAATGTCATCTGCAAAGAATGCCCAACAAGGTCAGCAGGGACATGTGTGCGCTGTGGGGACAATGTACAATTTGAGCCACGCCAAGTTGGCCTGACAGAAAGTCGTGTTCAAGTCTCCAACCTACTGGCCCGTGTGCAGTACACTTTTGAGATCCAGGCTGTCAATTTGGTGACTGAGTTGAGTTCAGAAGCACCCCAGTATGCTACCATCAACGTTAGCACCAGCCAGTCAGGTGAGAAGCCTCCTGCATCGGAGTCACAAAATTTCTATGTCTGTCTCTCATTTGATTTGCTTCAATAGACCAGAAGCTTTTTTTTTTGCCCTTTTTTATCTTTCTCTATTTTATTTCATTTGAGTTGCGCTCCGTTATTTACACATCTTGTTTTTACTGGTACTTTGCTCTTACCTTTTTATCCTTGTTTTGATAAATGATTTTGGAATGTTATTCTCTTGTCAGTAAGGAACAGATTTTTTTTGCCTTTTACCATGATAGAACTTTTAAAATATCTTACATTTTTCACAAAGCTGTTGTGATCCTTGTCGCTAGGATCTGAACAAGAGAGAGATGACTAGGAACTAATTATACTTCATGATAATCACTAAAATACAAATGATTTATGTGGGCAGTCAGAGAAAAAAGTAAAAAAAGAGGTAAAAGTGTTGAAGGGGAAGTCAAATTGATGTATAAAGAAGTTGTATATCTGGAAGAAAGAACAATGAATTTTGTATTTCTGTGAACATCCTGCACAAGGACTTAATTACAGAAGCAGCTGGAGAGAGCATGTATACAGTTCTGCTAAATGTTAGCAATTAGAGATTGGGTGTGTATTGTTCTTTATAAGCATGTATAAGCAGGTATGGAGAGGAACTGTACACAGCTTGGTTGAGAAGGTACGGAGAGGAATAATACGATAAGGAGGAGAATTAGGGGGAACAATTTAAACTGAGCAACATAAAATGTCTGTAAACATTTAGAGATGTGTAAATGTTTACACAGTTGGATTTCATACTGTAGTTGCAGAAAGCGGGGGGGGGAAAAATCAGTAAAGCTCAAAAAGATAAAAGTGATGTGAGATATGAAGTTGGTTAAATCACATCTTTTGATTTCTGCTTCTTCTGTGCCTTCAAAAGGAAGGGAACACATATACAACCCAAGCAACTTCCTACTTTTACCAAATGCCAGAGGTTTTGAACCATTTTCTCAAAGACATGGAGTAGCAGACCGTATACAGGGATACCTGGTCCTCTTAGGAGTCTGGCTGCAAGTGGGTGGTCAGTTTTTGTTTACAGTGAAAGGCCTGCCTGTATAATTCATTTGGTAATTTCAGGCAAATCCTTTGACTTCTACCGAATATAGGCAGGTATTCTATTAATATCCTAAAGAATTCTCTTTCTTCCTGCTGCTCCTCAGCCTTCCTCATTCGATGTAATTTAAATGAACAGCTGCTTTCTCCTTCTGCCTAAAATCACCGAATCTGCTTTTTTGCTTTTGACTTTTCTCACCACTCCTATTCTCCTTGGTGTCTCTTAGCATGTCTGGGCCTGTTGGGTTTCTTGGATATCTCTCCCCAAAGTGGTCTCTCACGCAGTAATGCAGTCTTCAATGAGAGAAGGTGGGATTCCTGAAACAGTGTATTTTGAGCTGGTTGATTTTGTGTTCCCATTTTTTCTCTTGCTCTTCGGTGACTTTGCTAGGAGTGAGCTTGAAATGAGCCATCCTGGATTCAAGGTGATAGCTCTGCTGTGACAAAACCCTGCTTCCTCCATTATACAGCCTGTATTATGCATGTCCCCCTCCCTTCAGTGCAGTTTTTCACATTAGTTTAGCTTACTATTGTTATTATTATTATTTTAGCAATTATTATTACATGGCAAAGGTGGATATTTCAGGTTGTTCTGTTCTTAAAGAAACAAGGAGGGGACAGGAAGACATGAAGAGCATAAAAATCTAAATTGGGAAAAGATGAGCTGTCCGAGTGAATAGACATATCAGAAATTTTGTTTCCATTGAATTAAAAGTGACAAAAGAAATACCCTTTAGTACTGATAGCTTCTGAATATTCTGCTTATTCATGCATTAGAGTTTTCTGACTTCCTTCATTTGCTGATGCAAAAAAAAACTCCTTCCCACACTCTGACTCTTTATTAAAGATGTCATAGGTGGTATTCTGTCCTGGCACAGTTCTACTTTTTTTTCTTTTTCCTTTTTTTCCGTGCTATCTATTTGCTCTTCATCTTTGTCTCCAGAACACTGTTCATCTAAGGGTTTGCTTATCCCTTACAGTCTGATAACCTAATTCAAAGTATGGTAGGATCCTCTATTTACACAATCACATTTTATATGTGATAGCATGATTATGATATTCCTAACCTTCAGTGACTGTGTTTTTAGAGTTAGAATAAGAAGGACTAGCATAGAGAAACTTTCTTTAATATTAGACTTAACTTTTTTAATAAGAATTAATCTTTCATAGCAAAAAGCATTTGTAATATTTTTGGATAGTAATAATGTGATATAAAATGAGGCATTATGTGACTCTGAGGCAAGGCACTAGGAGGAAGAACTGTCCCAGAGGAGAGACAAGAGAAAAGGGAATTGCTGAAGTGATAAGGATGAATAGCTAAAGAAGTATTGGGTTATGTAGAAGGATGTTAGGAGGCCATTCCAGATTGCATGAATTGCATGGAGAAAGGCTACTATTTAATTTTAACGTGATTATTCTTCTTTAGACAGCAGAGAGCCAGGCACAGAGTGAACACAGAACTTAAAAACCGATCATCATATTATTGGAAAAAAAAAAAAAATCTAATTAAAATTTTAGTAATTATTTTAACAATATTTCTTCTCTGCCTCAGGGCAGAAGTCAGGCTTTCATTTTAGGGACACTGGAAAAACTCTCTGTGCACAGCTGTAAACTGCCTATCCATTACTTCTTTTTCCTGCAGTTTCCACTGTGGCATGAAATAATACTGAGTTGTATTATTGAGTTGTATTATTCAGAACTTACTCATTCTGAAACTTGTTGCATTTCTAGTCAGTAGAGGAAGAGAGAGAGCAGAGAGAAAGATGCAAATTTTGGAGCATGTCCCTGCAGAGTTTTAAAAGCAACTGGAGTTTTTTAGCTGAATCCAGATATTAGGATAGCTAACACAGGACAAAGGTGATGTGATCAGATTGCTTTGTACCTGTGGAAAGATATCTAGCAGCCTTCTGCATCAGCTGGGTTAAGACCAGAGGGACCTGGCAATATCAAAGAAGCACAGAAATGCAGAAATAAAAGCTGGAGAGTCTGAAGGCTTGTGTAGGAGGTTGGGTGAAAACGATAGTTATGGATAATACCACGAAATTTCAAAGGATCCAATAAAAGATTTTCAGGTGGAAATGAGGAAAAGGCTTAAATTCCAAGTATGATCTGAGTTTGTAAAGGCAAATGGATGAATCAGTCAGAAAAAATAAGAAAAATTTTCTTGAAGATGTTTGCTCTTTCAAAAAGAAATCTAAGTGCTGTATTTACCTAGCGGTTAGACTACTTAACATCTTTCATTAGGTGTTACATATGACACTTGTGCAAGAATTTTCCATACACTTGCTATTTTATAAATATTTTAATAAAAAACAGTCTTTTCAAACTTTCTTAAAACATGCAGACCTCATATCTCACAATATGCTGTTTGCATTCAGTGAATAGTTAGTGGAGCTACAAAGTGCTTCACTGTATACATGAAAGAAGCTTTGAAACCAATGTTCTGTTACACAAATTGTTGAAGATCAGAATGCATACAAAGGAAAACATGCTCTTAGCACTTTGGTGGCACAAGAGGCAAGGTAGCATAGGTGTTTTCTTACAATAGCAAACTTTGAACTTTGTATTCCCTAATTTACTAACACTGGGAAAAGACCTTTGTCAGTAAGCTTCTGACAGCAAATACGAACTTATTTTACACCGATCCATTCACGTTTCACATCACCTCATTTATATGAGGTTTCACATACTCATTTATATGAGGTGTTTCAAAGGAGAAATCTAGAAAACTCTTACTTGAAATGTGGGAAAGCTCTCTGGCTGTGTTTAATGTGTTGACCTTAGATAAGAGAGAAACTTGAATATAAAAATCTGAACTCAGAATGCTGGTCAGAAGTGCATTCAAACTGGACCACAGGGATAGTGGGAGTCTTAAACACAACAGTTGTTTTGCTATCTGGATTACAGCTTTATTAAGGGCTGGTCTGAGATTTAGGAGCTACTCTGAACAGTAGGCTGCAGATGAGGCTATGAAAATGAGATGCTTTCATTCTCTATCATCTGCAACTGATCTGGGACCACTGAATGGAGAAATACTTCAAAGTCTGTCCCTTAATTCATTTGTGTCCTCCAGTGTCAATCTTCTAGTTTGCAACAGTGATGTGGAAGTGAGAGAACTCTGTTATTTTGGGAGCTCATTGTTGGTGTTTTGTTTTGGTTTTCCCCAGACAAAGAATTATACTGTAGGGGAGAAGCTTTAGAGAATAGTGTGCTCTCCTTTTGCTCTTATCATATTGTATGTCCAAGCATGACCCTAGAGCAAGGAAGTACACTCTGTCAGTATACTTTCATTTTGTGTGTAAATATTTAAAGTTTGAAGCCCAAAATAATTTTAGCTACAGTATATATATTTTCAGAACTCCTGTGCATGATCAGTTAAATGTCTGTCCCAATTTTCAGTGACTATATCTCTACTCCCAGTAGAGTAGAATTGTACATGGTTTCCGGTTGTTTTACAAAGTAAAAAGGGAAATTAAGGAAGGGAGTGACCCAACCTTTTAATTTTTCATAACAAATATTCAACTATAGGACTTGCTTAATCTTTTCACTTTGCAGTCACTCTTCTCTTTTATTCCAGTGCCCTCCTCAATCCCTATGATGCATCAGGTGAGTCGTGCTACCAGCAGCATCACACTGTCTTGGCCTCAACCAGACCAGCCCAATGGGGTTATCCTGGATTACCAGCTACGGTACTTTGACAAGGTGAGAAGAGAGTGTTGCAGTGCAGATTGCTGTATAGCTATTATGCAGGAGAGAATGGGGAAGTCTTCTGTCTGGAAGATTCACCCTTGGATCAGGTTGGATGAGGCTGAGAAAAATGATCCAATTATGAAGGAAGATCAAACTGTAGTAAGCATCAGAGTTATGCTTCATCTAACATCTGTCCATCTGCATTTCCCAGCTTGAAACCATCTAGAAATGATGTTAAAGAGGGAAAAGACGCTTGTAGCTAAGGTAAAAAACTGTGAGTGAAATAACTGAATAAATTTAGCATCATATAATACAGGAAACAGTGGAAGAAGCTCAAGTTTCCAAGAGTCTATATTGGAAATGGACTCACTGCAACTGTCCTGTGTCTCCATTTATGCCTCAATGGACACCTCTAAGAAATTCTGGCAAAAAGAATGCTCTCTTTCATTTACTAGCTGGCAGATCCCAGTTACATGTTTATGTGCTGAAATGACAAGGTGACACATACAAAGTCATTCTCCATTCACTTCTTTCACAACTCCTAATCTTGAGGGGAAGAGGTCCATAGGGCTGTTCAGACAAGTTGCCATTCTCTATATTTGATCTCTTACTTAAATATGTGCAGAATCTGTAGGGCTACTGTTTCTTCTAGCAGCAAAGGGGCCTGCTGTTTGTAACAACCTGCCTGTTAGCTTCTTGGATATATTCTCACTCAGAATTCTCCAGTGAGAATCACATGAGTCTAATAGAATATCCCGAGTTGGAAAAGATTCACAAGGGTCACTGAGAGCTTTGTGGGGAACCCAGGCATAAGGGAATGAAAAGTAGCCATGAGAAGTGACATTGATGTTGGGGGGCTCTGTAACAAATTCAAAAAATATTACACCCACATGGAAACTATCATTCCTTGATATGAAGAGCCAGCCATATTGACAGAAGTCTCACTTTTTTTTTTTCTTTTTTTTCTTTTTTTTTTTTTTTGGTCACTGACATTCACAGGCAGAAGATGAGGATAATTCATTTACTTTGACTAGTGAAACTAACATGGCCACTATATTAAATCTGAGTCCAGGCAAGATCTATGTCTTCCAAGTACGAGCTAGAACAGCAGTAGGTTATGGCCCATACAGTGGGAAGATGTATTTCCAGACTTTAACGGGAGGTAAGTGCTACCATTTTGTATTCACATCTGCACATGCCCATCTTTTATTTGTGTGTCACTCTTTTAATTATCTTATCCTCTGGAGAATGCTATAAGACACTGCTACTCAACTTGTATATTGCAATTTGCATATGCAGATTGTTTTCACTCTGAGAAAATTCATGTTGTCAGAGCATGTTGTTTACAATCCCTTAGCTTTGACTACCTTCCTATTATCCATTCCTACTCCTTGATTTCATATACCTTTCAGCAGGAGCAGTGTGTGTCAATAGAACTCTCCTTAGGAGCATAGCACAATATGCAGTTGTTTGGTCTTCACTTGTGACAGGGCATCTTATTTCTGAATGCTCTGTGAAAGTCTTAAGACAAGTGAGACAAAGGACATATACACAGAACCTTACCTTCTAGCAGTATTACCATCCACTCGTGCAGAGAATAATGTACTGCATTGTGATGCCCTTTACTCTTGTACATGTGTCTACAAGCTAAAATAATAGTATGAAATGGGATCAAAGCCCAGGTTTAGAGCCAGCCAATGCTTAAATGGCTTAAATGTGGGTGAACTAGGAAAAGGAAGAATGAACTGGGAGGGAGTACTGGCTTTCAAAAATAGGAAGGAAAGCACTCGAGCAGCAAGGCTGAAGGGGTGAAAGGATAACTGAGGCAAGCATTTGCTAAATGATCAGGGTTAGCCTGGGAGGCAGAAGGCTGATAGGAATAGAATTATGGCTGAAATCTAGATGAACAGATGGGAAACTCTAATTGTACTTGTTCTGTACATTTGCATGTGTGTGTATTCTTTTCTAGGAGAGCACTCGGAGATGGCACAGGACCGACTGCCACTTATTGTGGGCTCAGCACTTGGTGGTCTAGCTTTCTTGGTAATTGCTGCCATTGCCATTCTTGCCATCATCTTCAAGAGGTGAATTCTTTGACTTGCTTATGTCCCAGTGCCTGCACCCTAGACAGTGAAGCTTTCTTACCCTGCTACTTAACACAATCCCCAGAGCAGCTGCCTGATCTACAGTTAGCTGTAGCCAGTTTGCTGAAGGATAAAAGCTATACATCCCAGATCATTCCACGGAACACAGATTCATAAAACATAGGGTAAAAAAGCAAGTATCACTTTCAATTTTGGAAAAGAAAAAATGTTAACTCAATGTAGAGATAGTCTGATATGGTAAAAGAGCAGGGCAGGAATCTTAGAAAGGAAGAAAAGTGAGGGTCGCTGGAAGAGCAATGTAGAGGTATAAAAGTAAACAGTGGAGGAGGGCTAAAGAAAAAAACAGTCATCACCTGCTCCTTCAATGTAAGGGTTTGAACTTAATTCCCTAGACTGTCAGTAATGAATTCATGGATCTTTTCTCCACTCTGCCACTGAACAAAATGAACTTTTTAACTTTCTTTGTTGAATTACAGAACTATATAAATCTATTTTTAGGAAGTGACACCTAGTTTTAGCTCTTTTTTGTTGTTGTTGTTCTCTTTTTTATTTATTTAATTTGTTTTCTTCATCAGTGTGTATTCACTTTTAATATTTTTATTTCTGGGAAGAAAAGAATGAAATATTGTTATATTTACAATGTACAATTTACAATTTACAGTAAAGTTAAAATGCAATTTTCTTTTTCAGTAGACTGCTGGATTCCATCTCATTTCTCATGTCTAAAGTGGGGTTGCACACAGTAGTGTAAAAACTACCAAGTAGAGAACAAGCTAGGTTACCAAGAGATCTGCAGGATCTTAACAGTATCATATATACCTAAATTCAAGGACTCAAGTCTTTCACTGAGAAGCTTACCGCAATATATGGGGCAGACTTCTGCATGTTTTGACTTTCCTTTCCTTTACGTCCTGCAGTAAGAGACAAGAGACACCATACACAGACCGCCTGCAGCAGTATATCAGTACACGAGGTAAGTGTTCTTAAGCAGCAAATGACAAAGACGTATCTCTTCAGGACTCAGTAGAACCCATTTTCCTCAGGGGCGGATTCTGGTGATGTTTTGGACTGTCTCCTCCACTGCAGGACTTGGAGTGAAGTATTACATTGATCCTTCCACGTATGAAGATCCCAACGAAGCTATTCGGGAGTTTGCCAAGGAGATTGATGTGTCCTTCATCAAAATTGAGGAAGTCATTGGATCAGGTAGTATGAGAAGCTTTGGAATTTGAACTTTCTTATCATAACTTAACACACTAGTGGCCTGAAGTGGACCAAATACTGACACATCAAGTCTCTCTCTCTCCAAACCAAGTTTAAGGCACCCTTTGAAGATTCATTTGACTTCCTCATATGACTCTGAACAAGTAGTCCCCAACCTGACTGAATTCAGAGCCTTCATCAAGAACTTTACCTTGACCTAAATGGTCTTAAGTAACGTTGTTTCCAAGCAGTTTCAGAGATCTTCCATATGGGAATGTTTGAATGCACCTGACTAAACACTTTTCTGTGTTTCCTTACTTGAAGTGTGTTTCATCCCTTCCTAACAGGAGAATTTGGAGAGGTGTGCTTTGGGCGCCTAAAACACCCAGGGAAACGTGAATACACAGTAGCTATTAAAACCCTGAAGTCAGGTTATACTGATGAACAGCGTCGAGAGTTCCTGAGTGAGGCCAGCATCATGGGGCAATTTGAGCATCCCAATGTCATCCATCTGGAGGGTGTGGTCACCAAAAGCCGACCAGTCATGATTGTCACAGAGTTCATGGAGAATGGATCGCTGGATTCCTTCCTCAGGGTACCATAACTGGAATCTCCCACAGCTGTTACCTCTTAGTCTTCTACATGCCATTCTCAGACCTGATAATTGCCTATCCTTCCTCTTCCCCTTGTCTCCACAAGTCCTCAATAGCCCTCTGTGCGCAATATGAGTATGTGCAATAGGAATAACAGCAAATCAGGCTGTCAGTTTTTGAAGCCCATATTACAAAAGTTCACCTATCATCTATGCATTGTTTTAGACCTCTCAAACTCAACAATATGAAATTATTCCCTTTATACATGGCCTTTCACTTACTGTGGACATATTCCAAATTTGCCTTTTAAATAATGCTGTTCAGAGTTAATTCCACTGAATGTTTTCAAGTAACTTCCAATAATTAAATTTGTTATTATTTTTGGACTCAAGAATCTCCAGTGTTTTTTTCCAATAATTAAATAAAAATACAGATATTTCTGTACTACAGATGCTTTACTTCTTTCTTCATTGATGCACATTATAATTCAACCCAGCCACTTCAGCAGGTGCATTTTGAAAAGCACGGGAAACCATTGTATAGAATTGAATAGAACTCATTGTAAAAATCTCAGAACATTAAGAGTGGATTTTTTGCTTCCCTTCACTTAGACATCTTAGTAGTTAATGGGAGAGTAGACATAGGATGCTAAAGGAGGATACAACCACAATATGAGATTTATCTTCAGAAGTACATCATCAAAGTCTGACTTCATTTGAGATTCAGCCCTTTAGGCCCAGTTTCCTTTCTTATTTGCTGTTCATGAGGCCTTAGAGTTCAGCTGAAATTAAGACGTTTTCTAACTTCATAAATCTACCTTATTAACTTTCTCTTTGAAAGTCTTCCCTATAGGCTTAATTTCCTGTGGTCATAAAAGCCTGTGTTTGCCTCTTCACTTGCAGCAGAAGGAGGGACAGTTCAGTGTGTTACAGCTGGTGGGAATGCTACGAGGGATTGCAGCAGGCATGCGCTACCTTTCAGACATGAACTATGTGCATCGTGATCTCGCAGCACGTAACATCTTAGTCAATAGTAACCTTGTATGCAAGGTCTCAGACTTTGGTTTGTCCCGCTTTCTTGAAGATGATGCTTCAAATCCCACTTACACTGGAGCTCTGGTGAGTTACCACTGTGGAGTGATTTACTGCAGTGCTACCCACTATAAATTTGTTCTCTGTGCACCCTTTTTAGCCCATCTTGAAACCTGTGTGACCAGTCGGGTGAGGGTGAAGCCTCTACCTTGCAAGCTTCAAACAAAGAAAGAATGATAACTTGAGTATCTGATTCCCTCTGCCATGTGAAATTGAGTCTAAGTGAAGTTCTTTGTGGGATGATGGGGAATAGGACAAAAAGAAGACAGGCTTCATAAATTAGCATAGATGCTATCTTTTCTTTTACATGGGTTTCTTATAGGAAATTAAAAGAACTGAAGGTAAGATTGAAGACTGTACTACTACATTTGAGGAAATAATAATTTTTTTCCTGTAGAAAAGATAATCAGCCTAAATTTGGACTTACTACCAATCATCAAATGAACTTATTGCCTATAATGTTCTGATGCCTTTTATACCTTCCACAAAAGTGGTGTGATTTTTAAGAGATGTATTGAAACTACCATTTAACATGCAAGGAATAAAGAATTCTGTCACTGAAAGGGGAGATAAGTTTTAGATACACGTATTCTGAAGAACCAACACACCTGAATCGTATTTCGTCTGCCAGGTTGTAACTGCGTGTCAGAGAGGTTAAGATGGAAAGAAGAGAGATTTAATGATAGTCACTCAGTGTATCCATCATTGGAGTTGCAGGTTGAGATAGTTCATGTTGTGAGTTATGGTCATACAGGATCCTCTCTTAAGTGGTATTGAGGTGACCATCTGCAGATCGAACCCTGTTTCAAATTTGTTGCCTCCCGAGGACTCAGATGAGGGATGTCACTAGAGTAATGAAAAGTTTATTACAACTATTACCAACTCCTCTCTTTCATGTAGGAACCAATGATGTTGCCTTAGGAAGTTTCAGGTAATCAAAATGGATGATTACTAGAGAATTCAGGTGCTTAGGTAGTGTTTTCTTCTATCCTCCTGTTGACATAGAAGGATATTGAAAGAAACAGACAAGTACAGGACAACGTCTAGCTCCAACACTTCTGGCAACGATTTCTTTGCCAGAAATCTTTTTTGTAACCACTAGGAATGCTGTGGATAAGGCAAGGAATGACACAGTTAATGGGAGTGTTTACCTTGGTCCAGGGAGCGCTGAGGGCTTGGGAGTCTATCTAAAATGCCTGTACATCAATGCACGTATTATGAGAAGCAAACAGGAGGAACCCAAAACTTCAGTCTGTTCTCAGATCTGTGACAGTGTTGTTAATAATGGGACTTGGTGCCCCAGCTGGAGTGCTGGGATAGAGGACTATAGTCTGTCTAGGAGAGATGGGCAGGGCAGACATGGTGGACGAGCTGCAGTATACAAAAGGGAGATATTTAATTGTAGGTTTTTTTTCAGTTAGGAATAACCTGCTTGAGTGCCTCTGGGTAAAAGGATTAGGGGTATGTGCAACAAAGCAGACGCTGTCTGCTTTCATTTCTATCATAGTTCACGCAGCCAGAATGGCTGATTAGTTATTTAATAGACAATTAAGGGAAATCTCTGAATTGGTAGTCCCTGTACTTTTGGGAGATTCTAACTTCTCTGATATTAACAGGGAACATCATACTGTAGTGGCAAGTAAGTCTGGGAAATTACTGAAGTATGTCAAAGATAACTTCTTGTCACAGATACTTAGTTTACTAACCAGGAAAGGTATGTTCCTATACTTGTTCATGAGTACAGAGGGCATCATGGAAGATGAGACTGTTGCTGACTGTCTTAGCCAAAGTGGTCATGAAATGTTTTAATTTAACATTTTTAATGAAATAAGAAAAATGGTCAGCAAAGTTGTCATTCTTGATTTTAGAAGAGCAAACTTAAATACTCAGGGAGTTAGCAGAATTCCCTGTGAATCTTCCTCTAAGGGCCTGGGGGTCTACAAGAACTGATTACTTTTTAAAGAACCCCTTTTAAAAGCACAGAAGCAGGCAAATCCACTGTGTCGTAAATCAAGTAAGCAGGGCAGAAGACCAGCTTGGCTGAATAAGGAACTCTTCTTGGAATTCAAGTAGAAAAAGGAAGCAGCATGATCTCTCTCTTGGCAAGGTCAGGCCATACAGGAAGACTGGCTGGAGAGCAGTGCTGCAAGAAGGGATGTGGGGAAGCTGGCTGGTATGTTCAGTATGAGCCAGCAATGTACCCTGGCAGCTAAGAAGACAAAATGTGTTCTGGGATGCTTTAAACACAGCATAGCTGGCCAGTCAAAAGAGGTAATTATCCTATCACATACAGCATTGGTCCAAATTCTCTTGGAATACTGCATGCAGTTCCGAGTTACACAGTTTAAAAAGGATGTTAAGATACTTGAATGCATCCAGAGGATTGCAAGAAAGCTGGTTAAAACTTTGGGAAGCATATCCTCTGAGGAGTCGGTGAGAGTACTTGATTTGTCTAGTTTGGAGAAAAAGAGGCTTAAAGGGATTTTTTGTTGCTCTTTACAATTTCCTGAGTACAATTAGTAGAGAGTTGCTCATCTTTTATCCCATTTCTTTTAACAGGACACATGGCAATAGCTCAGAGCTGTTTGTGAAGGTTCAGACTAGACCATAGGAGAAATTTCCAGTTAGTCACTGGAACAGTGATTGATATCTTGTGAGTCTCTCTTTTTAAGAGGCATTTGGATAATGTAGTTGGACTCAATCATTGTAACTCCCTTCCAGCTGAACTATTCTGTTCAACTATTCTATTCTATTCTGCATGGCTTTCAAGTTTGAAATTGTTGAGACTTTTAGGAGGATTTGACTGTCTGCTACCTCTTAAATGCTACACAGAAGAGCTATAAAACTTAAATTCCATTATGTTAAGGATTTGTAGCAGCAAGTGGACATGAGTCTATGTTGTTTGTTTTTTTGTTTTGTTTAACTTGTACGTTTCAGTAGAACGAGGTGGAAACTTTTAACATACTTTGAATTTAAACCACCAATGTGTACAAGACAGCATTAACTGAACTGGCACATTATTTCAGAGTTGTGTCATTCTGCTGGAATCTGACCTGGTCAATGTTGTCATTTTCCCAAGTAGTCCTTATCTCACTAACATTCTGATTACTCCCTGATACTTTCTAGGGTTGCAAAATCCCCATCCGTTGGACTGCCCCTGAAGCTGTCCAGTATCGCAAGTTCACTTCCTCCAGTGATGTCTGGAGCTATGGCATTGTCATGTGGGAGGTGATGTCCTATGGTGAGAGACCTTACTGGGACATGTCCAACCAGGATGTAAGTTGGGAAAGTGGTGGGAATGTACATCTGCCTTTCTGCTCTGCGTCTTCAAGCAGAAGAAAGTCATACACTGCCAAATGACTGAAGCTTGCCTTTTACTTTCCTAGCTGTGATAACACTTTGTTCTACTTTTTTTGGCAGGTAATTAATGCCATTGACCAGGACTATCGCCTACCACCACCCCCAGACTGCCCAACTGTTTTGCATCTGCTGATGCTTGACTGCTGGCAGAAGGAACGAGTCCAGAGACCAAAATTTGAACAAATAGTCAGTGCCCTAGATAAAATGATCCGCAAGCCATCTGCTCTCAAAGCCACTGGCACTGGGAGCAGCAGGTGAGATGAAGCTTTAATGCAAAATAATACAGCTGGTATCTGGGTAGACATCATAAGGAAAAGAAGGCAGTAACTCAGTCTATATACTGTTTTTCCAGTTCTCTCTTCCGAAACTGAGACCAATTAATAAATAAAAAATGGAGTAGACAGTTGGAAGAGATGTATATCCTGATTCAGTTTGTGAGTGATGAGGATGAATTAGGAGTCGTGAGTGCTGAATGTGACAAGAAAGAGATCTTGACGAGTTGAGAGACCTTTGGGAATGTGAGTAGGGACAGATCTGGTGCAGCTATACAAGGTACTATGTGATCACATAAAACTCTGTGACAACAAGAGGTGTTAAAGGAAGAAAAGACCATAGCTTGTGGAGTGAAGGAATTCTGTAGCTAAAACTAATCAGAATTGCAGCTTACATCTCATATTTTCCCATCTCTATTTTGCTACCTGATAGAACCAGAGGGAGGAAGTTAGCAAGGGAGAGGTCTCCAGAGGGAGGTAAATGGAGCTAAGATTAGAAAGCTGATAGGCTGATAATAGAATTACATCCTGCTGATATGGAGGATTTTGCTGCAGTTATAGACTCTGCTCAGTGCAATGTACTGCAAAGCTTGGAGCGAGGAGGAAAATGAAGTAATGCCCAATTTACTAAAAAACAGCATAGAATTGCTCTGGACACATTCAGATGCCAGGAAAAACATAACATGGCATTCATAAACGGTGTTTTCTTTGACTTTTTATTGCTTTCTTCTGTCTGATGTGTGTTGAAACCCAAATGACACACTATCTTATAGGGTTCTTTGTGATCCAAAAAAAACCAACATCCTTGAGAAGCAGAGCTGTTCACAAAGGTAAAAAGGTACAAGGTCTCATCTCTGTGCCTTGGAAACTGCAGCTCTTAATTCAGATGATAGGTTTAGACCCAGAAAGTGGAAAGATCTGGGATGAGAGGAGGAGATCGTTCTTGAGGGAGTATAAAATGGGAAGAAAGGATCAACAGCTTAGGTTGGGTAGATAGTTTTTAGGCAGAAGGAAGACATAATCTAGAAAAAAACATCAAGGTGGGGCTTTGTGAATCAGATCATGAAGAACAAATGTAATTGTTTAGTCCATGCTGTGCTGTTCTCTCTCTCTCGTAAGTGACCTTATCATGGTCACCTGATGCTGATAATGGAAAATTTTAGAAGCTGACTCTTTTGCAGACCATCTCAACCTCTCCTGAGCAACTCCCCTCCAGATTTTCCTTCACTCAGCAATGCCCATGAGTGGTTGGATGCCATCAAGATGGGTCGTTACAAGGAGAATTTTGACCAGGCTGGTCTGAATACATTTGATGTCGTATCACGCATGACTCTGGAGTAAGTATAGAGACAAAGAGCATAGTATGCAATGCAGAAAGTGAGAGATGCAAAGTAAGAGCTATATGGAGAATATATATGCATAAAACAGGAAAAAGAATCTAGAGCAAAGTAGCTACTCTGTCTTACATCTTTATTAGGACTTCTGGTTGCCCTCCATACCATTATATATATACATATATATATATATATTCTGTTTCTGTAAGCATTAATACATAAGCACTGACTGATGTACAATACAAAACATATTGTCAGTGTTACAGAGAGAATGTTAATTAGAAAGTTCATGACACCTGGCACAAACAGGAATCACTTAAGGGGGTTGTGTAGAACCAGCCACGCTATATACTAAGTATATACAGCTTGCTGAGGTGATCAACTCCAGTATAGGCATGTTCTGCAGTGACACAGAGGATCAAGGTGTGCAGCGATGTTCCTATGATTGAAGATACTCTGGGGAAGTGGAGAGAGCTACCAGACATTGTGAGAGTGGCTGACGAGGCATGGGCAAGATCAGGAACAGAAGCAGTACATTTAAACACAGCATAACTGCCATTAACTTGCCGGGGCAATCAGCTGAAATCCAGATGGAGAGGCCACAACCTTCCTGTGCAGACCCACATATCCAAACAGACCTCCAAAGGGCTGAAAGAGCTGCCCAGACCTTCATTTTCAAGGAATTACAGATTTTGGACATCTCCCTAGAGCCTGAGGGCAGAAGTGGGTGTCATAGGTGCAAATGTGTCCACCTGGATGAATGTTTTTGAGCAAGTTGCCAGGTTGCACGAAGAAATCATCAGGCAGTGTAGTAGTCTATGCTGTGCTGTTCTCTCTCTCTCTTGTAGTGTAGTAACCAGGAATCCAAGAAGAGATTGATGCCTGGTATTGTGTACTGACCAAGTGACAGTCATGCTTAAATTCCTGAGAGGGGAAAGCTGACTAGTTTCCAAACCTGAGGTGATGGACTGCACTGACACACAGGACAAGTGAGACTGGACAGACATCTCTGCTAAGAGCAGAAGGAGGCACTACCCTCTTGCCTCTGATGTGCTTCCAGGACTCTGGGGCTGAAAAAAGAGAACTACATAAGTAATGATCAAGACCCAGGAAAGGGCAACTGCATAAAGTTGGTCCAACCAACCCCCTATATTAGAATTAGTGATTTTATGTTCCTCAGAAAAATGTTGAAGGGATTGAGAGCAGAAGTGGCGTTATCCTCTGTCCTCCCAGTTGGAGAAGGAGGCAAATGGATTGAGTGAATGACTGGATGCAGGGTTGCTACCATGCTCAGGGATATTGGTTTTGTGATCTTGGACACACCTTTGAGAAACTGGATGTAATGATACCAGATGGGACACAGCTGACCAGTTCAGACAAGAATGTTCTGGGCAGCAAGATGGCTGGACTTAGTAGCAGAGTTTTAAACTAGATTCAGTGGGGTAAAGGGATGCACTTCTGAGTAACAGAGAAGATCCAGGGAATCACCAACACTTTAGGAAGCAGCAGTGAAAAAGATGTGAATTATCCCCCCAAAATTAGGAAGGGCTCCTCTAAGAAGGTAATGCAGCCAACAGCCTGGCTGAAGTGCCACTACACCAATGCATGCAGAAAGGGAAATAAGCAGGAGAGGCTGGAAATCATAGTGCTATTGGAAAACTATGATGTCATGTCTTTCAAGAAGATATAGTGGGTTGAATCATACAACTGGAATTTTATGATCGAGGACTACAAGATTTTCAGAGAAGGAGAGGTGAGAATGTTGCCCACTATGTTAAGAAATTGACAGATTGCAGAAAGCTGCCTCTGAGAAACAGCCATGAACAGGCTGAGAACTTGTGGTTAAACATCAAGGACTGGACCAATAAAGAACATGTGGTGGTCAGGATCTACTGCACACCTGATCAAGGAGAGCCTGTTGACGAGACCTTGCTTCAGCTACAAGAGGCCTTGCATTTGCAGACTGCTCATCAATGCAGAGAAGATCATTAAAGGAGAGGTGGACTGGAGGTGGTCTGGGCTTCAGTGACCATGTTTTATTTATGTTCGTGCTCTTGAGGAACAGGAACTCAACAAAGAGCAAAGACACGGACCCTGAACTTTAGAAAAGAAAACTAGAAAATGTTCTCTGTCCTTGGAGACGAAGGAATTGAACAAATCTAGCAACTCTTTAAGGAAACCTTTCTTAGAGTGCAAGAACTCTCTGTTTCCATGTATAAGAAATGAAGCAGGGAAGGCAGGAAATTGGTATGGCCAAGCAAGGAGCAGCTAGTCAAATTGAGATTTAAGGCAGGAAAATCACAGGCAGTGGAAGCAAGATATGTGGCTTGGAAAGAGAACAGGGTTGCCATCAGAATATGTAAGAATGGGATTGGATCAGGATAGCCAAGGCACATATGGAACTGAGCTTGGCAAGGGATGCAAAGAATAACAAGAAGGAATTTGGTAGGTAGATTGATCAGAAAAGAAAGGCCCTCTGAGAAATGAGAAGAGAGAACCAGCTACAACAGACATGGAGAAGACTGAGGCACTCTACTATTTCTGTGCCTCAGTCTTCATTAGCAGTCAAGCTTTCCATATTTCTTAAGTCCCTGAACTTCTAAGTGGAGACTGAGGAAGCAACATCCTTCATACTGTAAGCAAATAACAGGTTCAGTGAAATTGAATGTGTGTAAGATATGGGGCCCAACCCCAGTGTACTGAGGAAACTGGCTGGTGTAGTTGCCATGCCATCACATTTGAGAAGTCAAGACTATCGGAAGTCTCTGGTGACTGGAAAAACCAAACCATTATCCCACTTTTAAGAAGGACTGAAAGGAAGACTTGGGGAACTAAGGCTGGTGAAATTCTCCTCTGTGCCTGGGAACATCCTGGAGCAGATTCTTCTGGAAGCACTGTTAAGGCACACGCAAGACAAAGATGTGATCTGAGACAACCAGCATAGCTTCACCAGGGACAAATGATGCCTGACCAATCTGATGGCCTTCTATGGTGGAATGAATGTGTCAGTTGACAAGAGAAGACTGAACAATGTCATCTACCTGAATTTCTGTAAGACCTTTGATGAGGTCCCACAGAACATCCGTGTAACTAAATTGGACAGAAATGGATTGGATGGGTGGGCTATTCAGTGGATGAGGAGTTGACTGGATGGCTGCAGCTGAAATCATGGTCAGTGGTTCTATGTCAACATGAAGGCCAGTGACGAGCAGTGTTCTTCAGGGGTCTGTCTTGGGACTGATGCTTCTTATCTTTATTATTTACATAGCCAGTGAGATCAAATTGACCCTGAGCAAGTTTGCAGATGACACCAAGCTGAATAGTGCAGTTGATACTGCAGAAGGAAGGGTTGCAATCCAAAGAGGCCTGGATAAGTATGAGATGTATGCCCGCATGAACCCAACGAGGTTTAACAAAGCCAATTGCAAGGTGCAGCTCTTTGTTCAGGGCAATCCCAGATACGTGTACAGACTTAGAGAAGAATTCATTGAAAGCAGTCCTGCAGAGAAGGATTTTATTATTCTGGTGGATGAAAAGCCAGAGGTGTGTGCTTACAGCCTGTAAGGCCAACTGTGTGCTGGTCTGCATCAAAAGAGGGGTGGCCAGCAGGGAGAAGGAGGGGGTGATCCCAATTCTACTCCTCATGAGACCTAATTTGGTGTACGTTGTCCAGATCTGGGGCTATCAGCACAGGAGAAACACAGAACTGTTGGAGTGGGTTCCAGAGGAGACCACGAAGATGATTAGAAGGTTGGACCACCTCTGCTATGAAGAAAGGTTGAGGGAGTTGGGTTTATTTGGTCTGAAGAAGAGAAGGCATCAGGAAGGCCTTACTGCAGCATTTCAGTACATAAAGGGAGTTTATTAAAAAAATCCAGAATGACATTTTACATGATCTGATAGCGATAGGTTTTAAGCTAAAAGAGGGAGATTTAAGCTAAAAGAGGGAGATTTATGTTAGATATTGGAATGAGATGATCTTAAAGGTCCCCTCCAACCCAAACCATTCCGTGATTCTATGATGATTCTATGCTAGGACGATATATTTTTTACTCCAGGAGTGGTGAGGTACTGAAACAGGTTGCTCAGAGAAATTGTTGAATGCCCCATCCCAGGAGGTATTCAAAACCAGGCTAGATGTGACAATTGACATCTTGATCTAGTTCGTAGCAACCCTACCCATATCAGCTAGGTTGGGACTAGATTATCTTTACGGTCTCTGTCAACTCAAGCCATTCTAAGATTCTGTGATTCTATGAAGTGTTACATAGAGCACAGGAGCCAGGAAAATATTTCTTTTTTAAATCATAATCTATCAAGTTCTGGCCACACCTCCTCTACCCAAACATTTGCCAAGCAAAAGCAGAAACCTTTTAAACTGTTTCGCAGACATGGATAACCACATATATCAATATGGAGTAACAGGGAAAGGAATTGGGACTGTTCAGAATAATAAAACCATTTAAACATTTTCTACACCTTCTATTCTTTTGCAGAGATCTCCAGCGTATTGGAATCACCCTGGTTGGTCACCAGAAAAAGATTCTAAACAGCATCCAGCTCATGAAAGTTCATTTGAATCAGCTTGAACCAGTTGAAGTGTGATGCTTTAATTCTTTATTTCACCAGACTCGAATTCTGAGAGGATTCAGAGGGATTGTCACTGTAAGAGAAGGAAATGGCAAGATGCTCCTTGAAGACTTATTGCACCTAGAGAGTAGACATTACATGTCCCATTTCATCAGCAAAAAGAGAATCTTGCCATGATTCAAAAGCAGAGCTTTTAGCTCTGCTAGCTGGTGGTGTTTAAATATGGCTGGCATACACTAGGAGTAGGTCAGGGGAGGGAAGGTTATAGTAATGCAGGGGGAGCTGGTATAATAGTTTGGACAGATCACAAGCACCTGCTAGCTCTTCTCCACTAACTAAAAATATCAGACAATTCTCCAAATGTCATCAGCAGGCTTTATCTGTGACTGGGAACTCAACAAAGTGGTAAAGACATAAAAGCCACAAAGAAATCAGAATTTTTCCAGAAGAATATCAGCATATTGTGAGAGATTATCACTCAGTTGGAAATGGACATTGCTTCCATCTGCGGTATGCCAGAATAGTGAGAAAGTGGAGTTCCACTTAATACATAGTATTGGTAAACAATGAGATACATCACCTGGTAATTTTTCACAGAGGTTGAGAGTAAAGGGGTTGAAATTCTGTGCTATAACATACGCAGTTCTTGGGTCTGTCCCATGATCCAGAAGGGAAACTTACTAATCCATTGTTCTGAGGCAAGGAACAAGACTTAGATGCATAGCATCTATCTATGGGAGTGTAAACAGAATAAAAAATAATGGTTCGTAAAATCCATCCTGCTGAATTTTCAATTGGAGAGCCCATTCTTGAGAAGAAAGGTGCAAGTTGCACTCAATTCTGGTTTCATTCTTTTCTAACTCTCCTCCAGTCCCTCCCCTCTACCCAGATATGCAGATATGGAAGGGAGTAACAGAAATAAATCTGAAGTCCTTTGCAATGGAAAAATGTTTTCTCCTTTTCTCACCCTGACAAGTCATAGCAGTCCACACTAATACTGATTGAAAACTGTTTCTGAGGAAAATGCAGATCTGCAGTAGTCAATTCCAAATAGACAACTGGATCAAAGGACATGAAACTCCTTCACAAATTCTTGTCAGAGAACGGTACCAGTCGCAGCAGTAACTTCAGTCTCTAAAATAAGAATAACTATGTTCTCGAGATCAATCATACTGCCTGGTCAGTAGTGCATGAGAATGACCAGAGGAGTCAGATTCTCTCTCCCTTTTTAGATAGACTGCCTAAGAAAAGATCTCTTTGTGGAGGGGAAGAGATTCAAGACTTAGGATGTATCCCAGTGTCTGTCACTGAGCAGAAGCAGGAAAACAAGAAGCTCAGCTTGAAAGTAAAATTCAACCAATACACTTGTTTACCTCATCAAGACATAAGAAAGGAAATGGAAATAGCCTTGCTAAGCAAGACCACAATTAAGACACTGCATAAAAAGATACATTCTTCATGTCTGGAGTGACTCACCGTTTTGATCTGTGAATGATTTGGTTCACCATGAACTAGTCATCAATCACTGTATTTTTCCAGCTGTCAGGGTTAGAGTTGCACTTCAGCAGTACTAATTCCTGTATAGTTTTAAGAGTTTCCCCCAGCAGTTAAAAGATATAAATCACTTTTTTCACTTATGAATCTCATTATACAATAGGAGGTGCACCAGAATAGTTACGCTCTAATAGCCAACACAGTTCAGATTATTACAACATAAGAGCAACATATGCTAACATTTTCAGTTGGAAGAGTAAGAACAGAAGTACATTTTTTCAAGAAATAAAAAGTCAATCCAAAAACAATCCAAAGGAATAAGAACAAAACATTTGTAACAGTACAAAGAGAACGTGAAGATTTTTTTAAAATGAACAAATCTAGAAATGGTCCACCTGTAAAAAGCAAGATTCTATAACTTTTAAAAGAATTTCTAGGATCTTGTAATGCTCAGAAATCCAAGGTTTTGTGTGTGCTGACTGTCAGTTACACCCACAGCGTATGAGACTGAGCAAGAGTTGCTCTCTTCAGAAAGGCTACTGAGCAGAAAGTGTTGAGGGGAATCTAGGGTTTCTAGCACCTTCCACAGAGGGCACAAACACGTGTACATGCATTCACATATGAGTATGTTTTAACAGTTCTGCAGGCCATTTGGAGAAACAGCAGGCTATGTTTTTCATACACAGTGGTCCCTTTTAGTGGTCAAGATAAGTGGAGAAATTAATGATCTAGTTCAAATTCTGTCTCTTTTTAGTCCAGTGGAAACTTAATCCTACGTGCTTTTTCAGCACTTAATTTTTCTGCAGTAGGAAACAAAATAGGAGCCTTGTCTTACTCTCAGACTAGTGACAGTGAGGGTTAATAGCCTTCTATGGGGATCTGCAATGAATTTATCTGCTTGGTGAGAATGCAGGCAATAGTACATTTACTGTTGCATACCAAGTCTATGATAAAGTTGTTTACACATACAAAGGATAATGATTTACTTGCTTATTGTAGCTTAACCTGGCAGCTAAATACCACACAGTTATTTGCTCACTCTCCCACCTACCCCCCTATATAGAATGAGAGAGAGAATTTGTAATAAAATAGAACTCATGGGTTGAGATAAAAAAAGTATTTACTAAGGCAGAAGAGGAAAACGGAAATAGAAAAGCAATTATAGAATATATATTGCCACAAGGCAATTATTCAGCAATAAATACAACATCGCACCAGCAGTGCAAGGTCTCCTTCACACTGATTAGTGCTCCCACAACCCTGGAGCAGCAACTGTTCTCTGGCCAACTCCCCATAGCATTATGGCCTTCCCCGTGGTGTCATTAGTAAGGCACCTGTCCTGGCTCTGTCCCATCCCCTGCACCATCATGGCATCTGCTGTTCTCCACACTCCATTGCTCAGGAACAACCAAACATCCAATGCAATTCGCACTGTTTCATCTGAAATCAGGACACTGCTATACCAGGATAGGTAAGTAGTGATAAGACATCATAAATCTCCCTGTTCTTGAGTTTGGTTGAAATATTCCTACAACTGGCCAAAGGGGTCAATATTCAAGATGTCCTGTTGTAGCTAGAGTTGTGCAGAGAGAGGTTTGAGGTAGCAGATGGAATGCAAAAGGGCAACTGTCTCCTGTAAGAGGTCCCTTTATATATTCTCAGGGGATCCCTATTTTTCCTCGTAACTTGGGGTGCAAAGACTGTTGTGTTTAATATATCTTGTGTGATTTGTCATCATGTCACTCCTCAACTTCGCAAATATGAAGGAAAGGTAATCCTGTACTAGTGAATAAGCAAAAGATAAGATGGAAAAAAAAGCACTAGAAATAATATCCTGATCTCACTTTACTCAACCCTATGTGAAAATAGAAATCTCACTTTCTGTTCCAACAGACATCAGTGGGGATCTTCTGCAATATATGAGCACCCTTAACAAGTAGGAATCAGAATCAGAAGGGAAAACAGTGGGATCCACCTAGACATCTGCTATCTGTAATTACTAGAAAAAAAGAGAAACAATACAATAAAGTTTTACAGACTCATATTATCTGCTGGAGAGTCAGCTGGGAGATTAACAAGTTATTATATGGAGTAAATGTGGATAATATCTGTAATGTGTATAATAGGCATTACAGGATGCAGAAGCAGAAGAAATAAAGAACATCCATGGCTTCCATGAGACCAGCGTAACAAATACAAAAGTCACATTTTTCTAATCACCTTGAAATTCATTAATGACTTTATGATTTTTGTTATTGGTATTCCACATCACATAGCTGTAATTATCACCTAGTCTCACCTCTGCTTGTAAGTGTTCAGTTTTTCCCTCCATAAGAAAATCCACAACTCTTATGAACTGAACTGTCCACATGTCTTTGAGACACAAGTTCTATCTCTTCCAAAACTGGAAAGCAGTCTGTCCTTTCCATCAGATTCATCACAATTCACAAGAGGGAATTATGTAACTGAACTGTTCTCTTACCTGCATTTTCCCAAGTTCATCCTGCTTGTAAGCCACTCTCCACAGGGTGGCATCCATCACAGCAATGAGCAAGCTGAGCACAAAGAGAGCGGCAGAAGCAGTGAAGGTTAAATATCTGATGCAATACATGAGGGGTAGGTCTATTTCACTGGTGGCAGGTCCATTCATCTTGGTAAAGAACTCATAAGTACTGAAAAGCTGTTTAATGTAGTTGTGAAAGTGGCCATCAGGATCTTGGGTCTGGAAGATGGTTTAAAAAGCTAGCAAAGAAAACAAAGGACGAAAAATACAAAAAAGAAGAAAACTGAAGGCCACTGTCATGGCCCTTGCCAGCATAATCTGATAATCTGTAAACTATAGCATCGGATTTTAGCCCAAATATTCGTGTCATCCTGGTCTCTCCTATGTATCCTAGTTTCAGTTTGGGGCAGTTAATTTTCTTCCTGATAGCTGGTATGATGTTGCGTTTTGGATTTAGGATCAGAACAACGTTGATCACATACCAACATCCTCGTTGCTGAGTAGCACTTACACTAGGTCAAGGACTTTTCAGTTTCGCATGTTGTCCTGACAGCAAGGAAGTCAGAGGTGCAGCAGGAGCTGAGAGAGGGCCGAACCAGAATAGCTGATCCAAAATGGCCAGAGGTATTTTCCGTACTACATGACATCATGCTGAACAATAAAACTGCAGTAGTTGGCCAGGGGATGCTTTTGCTGCTGGGGAACTGGAAGTGAATTTGTATTGCCTCTGAAAAAAAAAAACAAAAAAACGAGAAGAGTGTAGATAGTCTCTTACTAGCAGTACTGGAATTTTTCCACAGTTCAATCAAATTCCAGTTGTTTTCTTCTTCTGAGTTCACAGAATTTGGGTCCTTTAAATAACTTCTTTTAATGGAACTAAGTCAAAGCAACTTTTCTGCTAAGATATATCAGGTCATCTATGACAGAAGGGACTGCATGAGTAGGAGAGCACAGAAAAAAGAGAAAGGAAAAAAAAAAGTAGAAGACTGAAGGAAAAGAAAAGAAATAACAGAGTAGGCATTTGAACATATTCACAGTATGTATAGAAGATTTATAGCCATACCTGCGTGTCCTAACTTGACTTACACAAGTACTGGAAAACCACATACAAATATTCTGTAGAATTTTGTTGGTGAATATTTAAAATATGCTGGTTTTGGAAAATTATCTTGGCCTTTTAATCTCTACCAGCTTGTTTGTGGCATCTTGTTGGCTAACATATGCTTACTCACATGATGCAAAACCAAAGATCACATCACCGTGAACCAGCTGAGCTGCATGAGGTCCCGAAATACCATCTTGACACACTCCATTCTCCAGTTTATTTCACCCTATGGGAAGACAGTGACTATGGCGCACTTCACTAACACATACCAGGTGCACCAAAACAATTCAAATTTTACTGTCCCATCTTGCTCCCTGGTTTGTTTTGCTCAGTCACATCTGATGACTATGGCACACTTCGCTGACAGATCAGGTGCACAAAAACAATTAAATATATTCCGAGCAATCTGTTTGCACGTATGATCACATGTATTCTAAGCAAATAGTGTGTTAGCCTATGACTAATCAGTATTCTAGGGACAGGAAGTTAGGGTAGAGAAGGGTAAATTAGGTTGAGTGAAGTTATACAAATTTTTGGAAAGGTAAATTAGGGCAGGAAAGGTTATACAACCTGTTTCATTAATACATCCGTCGTGGGATGGGGTCCAAGGATGGGGCGTGCATGCAGGCTGGAGGAGTTTCAGGCTGGCTGAGTGAAACTCTGAAAATTGTCCTCCAGCGTCCTGACTTTATACCCCTTTTACACACGGTTTGCCATGATAAGCAAGGGGCAGGGGGCAAACTGTTACAAGGTATGCAGGTTAAGATATAGATAGGGGTATGACCACAGAAAAGCAGACAAACTTCCATTCGTACCATAAGACCTTGTTTTCAGATCCCAAAAATG